TGGCAAGTACATGGCCTGCTGCATGTTGTACAGGGGGGACGTGGTCCCGAAAGACGTCAAAGCGGCCATTGCCACCATCAAGACCAAGCGCACCATCCAGTTTGTGGATTGGTGCCCGACTGGATTTAAGGTAGGACTGGTGATGGGGAGTGGGTCTCCCTGTTGGAAGCGGCAGACCCTGCCATAGAACGCTGCCACTTTGCAGAGTTCCCCTGTTCCCTGACAGCTTGGCTCTTGGTCATAACTTAGGGGACCACAGTGATCATTTATTCAATGGCATCTTTTGAACTTCCTTCCTGAGTCATCACACTATAGATCTGTGGTATTTTTTTAACTAAATAGGAAATTTTTTGAAGGCTTTTTGTTCCCTTTTCTGGGTGGTAGAATTAGTGTGGGAAATGTAGGTTGGACTGGGAAATGTGGGCATTTGGGTAATTCAGGTGGATATTTGGGGAATGACTATCAATTGATTGCCATCACTGAATCTTCCTTCCATAAGGGTAGAAACTACATCCAATTTCAATGTCCTGTGCAGTGTTGGATTTAAAGAAAAACTATCATGAATCTTTTGTGAAGAAAATGGCAACATCTTTATTTCTCTCTTGGGAAGCCTAGAAATTCTGGCCTGAGTTTGCCTCAGACCACAGTTTGTCCCCACCTTCCATTGGAGACGGGATGGACACCTTGCTGTCGCTCTCCAGCTTTGTCCAGTCCTGGGTCACTGAACCCTGTGGATGATTTCCCTCAGGACTGTGCTTCCTGAGCCTTTTCATGTCTCCTCTGCCAGCCCAGACCCTCCCTGCTCCTGCTGGGCCTGCTGCAGTGGATTCTGAACTAGGCTTCCTCCTCTGGTCCTCCTCTAGTTCAGGAGTCTGCATGGTGGGTGGGCCAACTGCCTGCTTCTGTAATTATGTTCCATGTGAACACAGCCACACCTGCTCATTGGTGTATTGTGGCTGCTTTTGCTGCAGACAGAACTGAGGAGCTGTAACAGACCACGTGGCCCACCCAGCCTAGACTATGCAGGGTCTCGCCCTTACAGACAATGTTTGCTGACCCGGGCTCCAGCTGACCCTGTGTGCTGCTGCCAGATCTCTGAGCACGTCATCCTTTGGGTCCTGTACTCGGAATGCCTCCCCTTTGGTCCCAGCCCTAGAACGTCACCCCTTCCTCCTCCTTAGCACACACATAGGCCACCTCCTGGTGCAGTGGGAGCAGCAGTCCTAGGACCTCTGACAATGTACCTGTCACCTGCTCTGCACAGGCTGGCTCATTTGGTGGGAAAGCAGGGGGTATGATCTTCCCTCGTGATACAACCACAGCTGTGTGCTCTGAATCTACTGGGTGGAAAGATTTCAGCCACAGAAATTAATCCCCATCTCGTTGAAGCCCGTGGAGATAATAGCGTATGAAGAATCCAGGGCAGTGTCCCTTTTCAGAAGGAAGACAGTGCTGTCACCTGGGCACCTATCACACATCACAGTTGCTGGGAGACAGCCCTTCAGGCAGCATGGGACCCAGCCAGGGTGGCTGACTCAGGCTCCTCTTTCCCTGTTTTCCTTGTCTGGAAACCAGCACCCTGCTCTCCTGGCACCTTGCCTGGCACCAAGAAGGACTCAGAGACTTCAGGGTGAACCGAGTCTTCTCCTGGGTCACAAGAGGAGACCTGTGCATCTTCTGTTTCCATGATTCAGCCACCATTTCTGGGTTTGACAGAAGCTTCACAGAGTGCTCTCTTCCCCTTCTCTGGCAGGTGGGCATCAACTACCAGCCCCCCACGGTTGTCCCCGGGGGAGACCTGGCCAAGGTATAGTGGACCGCGTGCATGCTGAGCACTGAGATGACCACACAGGGGACAAAATGTGCCTGAGAACAGGTTCACCCACTGGGTCCCAGTGCTTCCCATGGGGCCTGCCCCAGCCAGGGCTCTCCTCCACTCCAGCCTGGCAGGGTCTGCCCTGCAGGCTCTGACCAAGGTACGTGTGCCCCGCTTGACCCCAGCCTCCATCCCAGTTCTCAGTCAAACAGCCTGCAATGGGGCATTGTGAGTTCTTGGAGGAAAGACACAAGGAAGGGTCTCAGGGACCTGTTAGGTCACTTCTCTGTCACCATTTGTTACCTTGAGCAAGCGGAGGCGTCTACCTTTGAGACTCTGCAGAACCTGGCACCTCCAGAAGGACATCAGACTCACTTTCATGCTAATACTGACAACTGACTTCTCCCCAGGATGCCTGCAGGGATGGGACGGCCCTTCTTTTTTCTTTTTTTTTTTTTTTTTAATGCTTTTTAGTGAGGAAGATTGGCCCTGAGCTAACATCTGTTGCCAATCTTCCTCTTTTTTTTTTCCGCCCGGAAGGCCCACTACATAGTTATATATCCTAGTTGTGAGTCATGCTAGTTCTTCTATGTGAGCTGCCGCCTCAGCATGGCTTGATGAGCGGTGCTAGGTCCCCACCCAGGATCTGAACTGCCAAACCTGGGCTGCCGAAGTGGAGTGTGGAACTTAACCACTCGGCCATGGGGCTGGCTTCCAGCACGGCCTTTCTTAAGAGAATTTCTGGAAAGTTCTTCCTCAGAGAGCGGGGGGTCTTTGCTGCCCTGTGGGTGGGGAGGGTTACAGTGGTGCCATGCTGGGAACTCTGAGGGCTCAGGTTTTTCTGGCCTCACCTCCGTGGGCTTCACACTCAAGTGCTCGCGTACACTTGATGTGACAAAGGTGTGATAACAGGTTATCCAGGGCCAAGGGGGAGCAGACAGGAGTGGGGTGGGGAGGGGGTTGGAGAAGCTGGGCCAAGGCAGCCCACCAGTGACTCCCAAAAGACAGACATAAAGAGAACCCTCACCCCCCATTTCCTTTGGTGCAAATGCTAATATTCTGGTCCCATTGCAAGGACCCCGTCTCCTATGAGAGCCTGGGCCCCACCACCCTGCAGTGTCTCCCAACATGCTAGTGCCCTCCTGCGGCCACAGCCCCACCCCAGGCCTGGCCGGGCAGAATTAGGGCTTCTGTGGCCTCTGGCCTAACCCTCGGTGCTGAGGTGCCCACGAACTTTCCACGAGGGGCCTTTCCTGAGGACTCGGGAGTACTGCCAGGCACAGCTGACCCCCACCAAGTGGCGGGTCTCAGGCGTGGGCCTGACTGTGAAGCCGGCTTGTCTTCAGCCTGCCACACACGAGAGCTTCCTCCCTCTTCAGTATAATGACCAGGCTGTTCTAGAAACTCAAGGATGAGAGGAAAGAGAGAAGAGCAAACAATGTTCATCTTTAAATCTGACAAGGCCCATCAACCCTGGACATGAGAAACCAATGTAACTTTGAGAAGGCACTGAGAACCCATCTAGCAATGAAAGCAGGCCATCACCCAGCTCTGTGCGGTTCTTGGGGTCCTTCAGGAATCACATGCTCCTGGGATTAGCAGGGGGTGGGGGGGACCCACTCAGTCCTCTTCATTTCCTACACGAGGATGGGAGGTGGAGAATGGTCTGCAGGGCCTGGCAATGGAAAGACCTGTTTTGTCAAGCCCAGCTCAACCACACACTCCCGGGGGGATCCAGCAAGGGACATGTTGGAGCTGATCACACCTGCCCCAGCTCCCCCTGGAAGGGTTATTAGGGTCAGAGGGAATGGAGGGTGGGGCTGAGCCAACGGTGACTGCAGGCTCGGGTGGGGAGCGGTAGGGACATGCTCCCAGGCCTGGTTCCTGAGGGGCCCTCTTAAGCGTCAAAGACGGTCAGTGATCACTGAATGTAAAAACCACTCCAGCTTATTGTCTTCAACATCAGTGCTCCTCCCATCCCTAAGGCCAACTTGAGGCCACTCTGTGTTTTGAGACAGTCTAATGAAGCAAAAGCCTAAAATACACTAGCGTGTCAGCCACCTGTGACTTGGGGACCCCTGAAGCTGAGGAGCCACCAGACGCGGTGGACCCACTCTGCCATTTCTCTTTGGCGCGGACCCGTGATCCCCACTCACCAGCCCCTGCAAGCTTTGCCAGCAGAGCTGCTTGACAAGGAAGATTTATAAAAAGCCCAGTGGAGCTGCTGCTCCCATCCCTTCCTGCCGGTCCCTGAAAGCTCTTTCTCCTTCGTGGTGGGAGCGCCCCCTTGTGCGGAAATGGGCCAGAGGGGCCGTGGAGGCAAATATCAGTGACTGGCCTTGAGTGTGCACTGAATGCATGTTGGGGAGGGAGGATGGGGTGGGGCAGGGAATGAGGAGAGGACGGAACACACGACAGTGCCACTGTGGGGGCGCTCTGTGGCCAGTGCGGCAGCACAGTGGCCACTCCGAGATTGTAAGGAGCGCCTGGCAGGGTGGCGGCAAGGGCGGTCCATCATCTGCCTGGAGATCCCACCAGAAGGTGTGCACCCACCAGCCAGTACTACTGCCCTCCCTGACCAGGCACACAGTATGGGCTTAATCAATGCTTCCAGAACACGTTACAGACATAATGACAGGGACCGATGTGCACCAAGGAGATACACGCATGCACTTTAACCCTGAAATGAGACTCCGCTTCTTGGGACGGTGTTCTCCCACGTGGGCGTGCCCAGTGACCCCCTCCTGGCACCCGCACACATAGCCCTGATGCGGTGTTTTAGGAGAGGTCTTATCGTGAATGTTCTGGAGCAGTGCTGTCAATGGAAATGTGATGCGAGCCACATGTGTATTTTAAATTTTCTAGTAGCCACATTACAAAGTAAAAAGAAACAGGAAATCAATTTAAATATGTTTTAATTAGCCCCAAATACCCAACCTATTATCATTTCAACATAGGATCAGTATAAAATTACCTGTGAAGTGTGACATCCCCTCTGTGCACCCATCCCTTGGTATCCGGGCACGGGGTGGGCACCCACGCACCCAGCGCATCTCACCACACCAGCCCCAGGGCCTGTGTCTCCCACATCAGACAGCACAGCTCTGCATGAGGCTCATGGCTTCTGCGCCCAAGCTCATCTCACACGTCCTGGAGGGACATCTTTCTAAAACATATAGTTTCCCTTAACAGTTCAACAGAGAACACTCAGCTGAATGTAATTTTTCCTCAGTGACCCCACATCCTCCCCAGGACAAGCATTCCCCCTCTGTGCTTTCAGGGTCTTCTGTTTCTCCATTTTCTGCAGGAAAAGGCAGAAATGAATGAGCTTTCAGTGACAGTCCCCATAGGCCACCTGGATGGCTGGGGGTCAGGAACCCAGACAGAGTCAAGCCCCTGCGTGGGACTCCAGCCCTTGGCCTGGAGCAACTCCACACCCTGATTCTGTGGGAAATCTAAGGCTAGTGAGGGCCAACAGCCCAAACCCCCTCATCCTCCTAGGCCACCACGGTCCCCACATTTGGCTCACTCTGACAGCTCTCCACCCCAGATCCTGCCATTAACAAGGTGGCCAGAAGGTCTCTGTGCACAGATGCTGTGACATGGGGCCTCAGAGATCTGTCTTGTCTGGTGGCCTCTGCCTCTCAGCCACAGCGCATTGCTGGCATGGCCTGTCAGAGGCCCCACTCCCCTCCACCACCTCCCCATCAAACCCCTCCCCAGGCTGCCCTAACCCCCACCAGGCATCTCACCAGGGCCTCCATGTCCTGGTATGCTGGCCGCTGGCTGCCCAGCCCAGCAGCACCCAAGGCCTGAGCCCTTGAGGAGAAAATGACCCTGTGGAGCCCAGGGCTCCACTCCTGTCCCCATGCTCGGGGCTTCCTCCCCACCTCCCTCAGAGCCCCCTCTGACCCTCCCAACCCCTCTATGCCAGTGTTCCCAGCGCCATTCCCACAGCACACCTCCTGACCCTCCACTCTCTCCCTCTTCCCACATCCCCCAGCTCAGGCCCTCCTCCCACCAATGGGCTGCATCCACGCTCTGCATCAGCCTCCCCACCTGCCCTTCCCCGCTCAGCGCCCTCCCACCACCCCACCTGCAGGGCTGCAGGGCAAAGGGACTGCAGCTGGCCCAGAGGCTCCCCCACCCCCACCGCCTGCTTAACCCTTACTGCTCCAGCAAAGCCCTCTGCACTGGCCTCCTCTCGTCTCTGTTACCGTTGGTTTGTCTAGCCATCTCCCTCCCTGGACCAAGAAGTGTCCATCTCACAGTCCCACTGTGCCCCTAGCACTGACAAACGCCCTGGCACCCAGAGTCCTGAGTGAGTGAGCCCCAACACCCCCTCGAGGGAGGAGGGCTCTGTTCCCGGTTTCTCTCTCCCCCTGGAAATTCAGCCATCCATTCCTCAGCCCAGCCTCTAGTCCACCCACCCCTCCCCTGACCTGCCCCTTGGCCCTTCCCCACTCCTCCCTGGCCCGAGCTCCAGGTGGCACCTGGAACTTGGAGGTGGGTGATGGGGAGAGGGGCATGAAGGAGGGCAAAGCCAGAGCACCTGTGGGATCTCAGGCCCTCCCTCACACACCCCTGGAAACACCTTGCAGGTACCCCAGCTCAGGAACCAGGCAGAGAAGAAGAGTCACAGTGTATCCTCCAGGCTGCCCACCCGGGTGGCTGACAGCATCTCAGAGGCCAAGCTGTTTCTCACACCCAGGGCTTTGCTCTCCAGAGCATGCCACGCTGCCCCTTCCCTGCCCCTCGGTCTACTGTCCTCCTCTGGGGTGGGGGAACCTCTACAGAGCACAAGTCTCACCCAGCAGAGTTAACCTCTGGGGGCAGGGGTGTTGGTCCCATTCTAGAAGGACTGTGGGTTGTCTCTAATAAAGTGAGCCATGAAATCCTGTCCTCAGTCTCTAAGCTGATGGCAGGGATGGCCCGCAGGGTCCTGCCCTTGCAGCTTGAAGCTGCTCAGGCTTTCTGGGGGCCACGGCAGTTTCCATGGAAACAAGAGCACAACCCCCAGAGATAAACCAATAAACGCAACCTGTAAAAGGAGAGAACGGGCAGCAAGAGAACCGGAGGGACCCGGGGGGCCCGGGAGAGAGAGGCGAGTGCGGGGCAGCGGGGCCGTGGAGCAGAACCGCAGAGGCCGCAGGTGGTGGGACCCAGGAAAAGGAGGGCCTTGCAGGGGGGCTACAGTTCTTGGCAGAGAGAGAGGAGGCCTCTGGAGGTCAGAGAGAGACACAGAGCAGACAGAGCGTGGGTCAGTGGGGAGGCCTGTACTCGAGTGCCCAGGGCCTCATGGGACAGGGGATGCGGGGACCCAGGGCCCTGGCACTCCCACCACAGGGGCCCGGCCTGCCCTCCACCCAAATGTCAGCCCTTCTTGGGGTGTCTCTAAAAGCCCCGTGCTTCTGGCCAAGGAGCCAGCCCAGGAGGTCCGGCTGCATGTCAGACGGTTTCTGACAGCCTCTGGGAGCAGAAGGGACACAGGGAGGATGCAGGTGGAACTCCACGGTGACACCTGGTCACCAGCGCCTGTTCACCATGCCCCAATCTTCACTCTGGAGAGTGATGAGGCCCCTCACACCTGAGCCCAGCGCTCTGCCCCTCCGGCCTCTGCACCCGAGTGTCTAGGGCAGTCAGGGGCTGCCAGGCTGACTCCCGACCTGCATCCAAGGAGGGAAACTCAGCTGGCCAGACTCCTCAGCAAGGCCTGGGCCAAGCCGGGTCCAGGCGAGGGGGTGGCAGGAAGGCCTCTGCCTGCCCGGCTCTCTGAGCACTTCCCTGGAGTCTGTGCAAACATGAGAACAGGAACGAAAGCAGTCTCGTTCCCGTGTTTGTGGGATGAAGGCAGGAGCCCAGAGGCGAGAAGAGGCTGGGGCAGCAAAAGCCCCAGATGAAGCCTAGCCCACTGGGCCTCCCTGGGGCACCCGCTCTGCGGCCACCCAATCTGCACGTGCTTTCTCTACGGCGGCAGCCAAGCCGAAGATGGAGACCAGAGCCCCAGGGGCGAGCCCTTGGCTGGCCCAGCGGGTCCCGGGAGAAGACCAGCAGAAAGGCCTGGCCACGGAGGGCCAAGCTGGCGCAGGGCTAGGCGCTGCCTTCCCCTCCCCGCCCCCCGCCCCCAACCCCGGCCCCGCCGCCTCGCCGCCCGGGCCACAGGGGCAGGGAGCACCGGGCCCAACTCTGACCTCTCGTCTCAGGCGCACTTGATGTGGGCAGTGACACGGCCGCGGGGGCCTGGGACTCGCTCGGCAGCCTCTGCCCGGCGCACATGGACTTGAGCATCTGGAAGACGGCGAGGGGCGCCACGTTCAGCTTCAGCAGGTCCAGCAGGATCCTGGAGAGACAGACGCGCTGCGCAAGGAGCCTCCTCGCCCGGGCCAGGCTGCTCGGCCAGAGCGGGCAGGCGTGGCCGCCTCCCTCAAGACCCCGACTGTACCCTGGGCCTCAAGGGGGTCCGACAAGGGCGGTGGGAAGGAGAGCAGGAGGGTCGGGGGTCGCCGAGCGCGCAGCCCCGCCCGCGCCCGCTCACTTGAACACATCGGGGTCCATGGCGCCGCCCGCCGCCTGGGCCAGCTCGTACAGCTCCATCTCCTCGGCGCTCAGCACCTTCTTCCGCCGCAGCGCGAGCTTCTGCAGGGTCGCCTCCAGCCCCGGGGACGCTCCCGGCCCCGGTCCGGCGCCCGGAGCCGCCATCTGCGCGGCCGCGGGAAAGCGCGCTCACGGCCAGGCCCCTGTCCCCGCCGCCTGTCCCCAGCCCTAGCCCGGTCCCCTAGCCCCGCCCCACGGGCGCGCCCACAGCGACTTCTACCTGCCCTTCCGACCGTTCCTTTCCTAGCAGCCCGAACCCGGAGGGCAGGGCCGGCTCGGTCTCCCCTCGGTCCCTCGGTCTGCAGACATGTACGCGCTGTAGGGGAAAACGTGGCCGACCGCTGAGACCCGCTCCTTTTCGATCACGGCTTCCCTGCTGGGCTGCCTTGGTCGTTGTCCCTTAGGTAGCAGCACCCAGCGCAGTGCCTGGGATCCACTGGGCGCTCAATAAATGCCTGTGGGAGGAAGAGCAGTCAACACACTCTGTGTAATTGTTCTGCGCCGGTTCCCCACGAGGGGGCCTGCCTCGAGGGTCCGAATCAACAGCCTCATTCCGCGAACTCGTAGTCCTTGCCGCGGATACAGCGCGTGAGCCCGTGTCTAAGGGGCACAGCTGCCCCCCTGCGCACGCGCAGTCAGAGTTAGTACCCATACCTAGCCTGCCTTGGTTTGGCGCCGCGCCTTTTAGGGTAACATCCCCCAACGGTTGCAGCGGATTTCCCGCTACGCCGGGGACGTGCCGCCTCGCGCACCTGATGATGACATTTCGACGCCCAGAACCCGAACGGCGGACTCCATCCTTGAGGCGAGCGACGCTGCGGACCCCACAGGTGAGTGGCGGGACCGCCCCGCGTCCTGGCGGCCTCTGGAACCTCCGCCGGCCCCGTCTCGGTCCCCCGCGCGCCCGGGCTGGAACGGCGGGGAGCCAGGCCGGCCGCGCCCTCCTGCCGCCTCCGCGCCCCGCGGCGGGGCTCGGTTACCGCGCGGCGAGCGGCCGGAGGGCGGGAGCTCCGAGGGAGAGCGGAGCCTCGGGTCAGCCGGCGGTGGGGGCCCGCCCGAGCCCTCCTCCCGTGTGGCTCGAGTTCTCCGAGCCTCAGTTTCCCCGTCTGTAGGAGGGGACCCCGAGGCTCCCCCACCGGGAGCTGGTGAGCCCGAGCGGGAGCGCGCTCGGCCCTCGGAGCGGCCAGGGGGAGGCCTGGCGCGGTCCTGGCCTGTACATGTTCGCATGTTTAAATGTGTGTGTAAATGTGATGGTTACAGTACAGGTCAGCCTCTGTGTAGGCCGGCGCTCAGAGGTGGGATCAGTAACAACGTTTTTTGAGGAGTCTAGGAGACACGCCCCAGAGACACTAGCAGGGCTGTGTCTTGCTGGAAACTCCGCGGTGATTTTAAGTAAGTCTTGGCAGCGCTGTGCAAAGGGGTCGTTTACGGTGAGCTTTCAGGTTAGTGTAGAAGAGAGAACAAATCGAAAAATCGGGCGCATATTCAATTTGCAGCTGTTGCTGGTATTCTGGCTCCAGTCAAAACAGAAAGCTAAGTGCTGGGCAGGACTCAGACACACCACTGGCCCCATTAACCTAAAAATAAAGAACGAAAATGAGAGGCAGAGGTGTTTATTTTGGGCTCAAAGAATTGCAATTCAGGAAGCACAGATTCAGGTAGAAACCCAAATAGTGTCCCGCTAGGGAGTAGAAGTCAGGGGCTTTTAAAGGCACAGGGGGAGGTTTGCATTACAAAGAATGTTAATTGGGGTTCGCAGCAGAAAGCTAATCTTGGCCAAAAATAATTGATTGCCAAGGCTAGCCAGAGGAAGGCAAATGTCTGACTCTGTGATGAGCTGCAGGTTTCTTCCAGTGTTACTCAGTTCAAAAGTTCATGTTCTGGGCCAGCTGGTGGTGTAGTGGTTAAGTTTGAGGGGCTGTTCCTTGACCCCAGGTTCACAGGTTCTGATGCCACCTGCAGACCTACACTAGTCATCAAGCCATGCTGTGGCAGCATCCCACATACAAAAAGTAGAGGAAGATTGGGACAGCGGTTAGCTCAGGGCCACTCTTCCTCGCCAAAAAAAAAACACAAAATATATGTATATATACATATATATTCATGTTCTCCATGAGGATGTGCATAAGACCCATTTCCTTAATGGCTTCCCAGCTCCATTTTAAAGCCCTTAGACATATATGACTCCATTTTATTTCACGTTTCACATTTTCCCGCTTTTGATTGAGGTTTTTCTCTGAAAGCATCACTGATCAACCATAGATTTGTTTAGTCCCATACTGCTGGGATGGACCTGTCCCAGAGAGTCATGTCCCACTTCAGGGGAAATTAGTATATTTTTCCCAATGGTTACTCCAAGGAGTCAGCATCATAAGGGTTAGGCCATATTTGAGCAACAAGGAGGCAGTCTGAAAATGACTCTTGGGAATTTCATCCGGTTACCTGAAGGTTCAGGTGCATAAGACTTATCCATCATTCAGTACATTGAGTGACAATAATCTTGGTGTTTGGTGAAGTTCTGGAGCAGATCTGAGTGTGTAGTAGCATAAGAAGCTTAAATACAAGTACACATAGCAAAATGCTAATAATACTCATAAACAATATTTGAAGTCCTGGTCTCATCCAAGCACCTCTGCCTGACGGAAGCCGGCTGAAAACATCAACAGGGATCCAGAGGGCGTCATTGAAAGACATTGGACTGCAGTCATCTTGTGCACCTTTTATAATTTTTCCGAGTTCTAACTCAACATCATCAGAAGAGTTGATGCAGGTACAGCAGGAAGTGTTGTCTGTGACACAGATGCCACCCTGTTCTGCGAGGAGATCATTGAGTGCCATTTGATTATCTAGTACAACCCATCCTTGGGAATCCAGGGATCGTTGTTGTTGAGCTAGGGTTCAAGTGGTAGAATATTCCAGTGTAGCGATGGTTAGGGATACATTTTTTATCAACAGATTGTAATGGACAACGTCAATCCAAAGGACAGAGCCTTTGGCAGTAGTAATCAATGGAGAGTGGGTGGGGTGTAAAAAGGGAGTCTCCAAGTCTCGCCTAGACCTATGAGATTGTGGTTGGGTTCCTTCTATAACAAGAGCTTGAAATGGAATACTGCGGTGTCCTAAAAGGCATTTTCCTGCCGTATGCCAGCTTATGAATCTAGACATTCATAAGCCCAGTGTTTCCCATAATAATCACACACAAAGATGTACCCAAAAGGGGCACATAGAATACAATGCCTTCTAGCTCTGTAGCAGTGTCAGTGGTCAGGAGCACTTCGTAAAGTCCTTTCCAGTGGGGCTCCAGGGCTGTCTTCCTCTGATGATGCTTCTAGCATATCCAGTCACCAGGCTCTAGACAGTGACCAACAGCATCCTTTAAATTGGAATCTGGGAAAGAGCCTTTAACCTGTTGGTGATGGGAATGAGCATAAGACCATAGAGACTCACAGTAGCTGGTCATACGCACATAGGGCAATGGGGGAGCAGCAGAAGGCTGTGTGCCAGCAGATGCTGATCTGCTGGTGACTGTCTCATGGAGTTAACTCATATTTTCCAAAGAGGACACAGCCAACAGTCAGCAAGACCCAAGGCAATGCCTTATGCTAGGGGAGTCCGGTCCATGGTATATAACAAACCTCAAAGACAATTAACAGGACTAGAATCTAATATGTATAAGGGTGCACACATAATTTTTCTCTCTACAATTATCCTCAATTTTTTTTTTGCCAAAGATAATCACAGCAAAACTAATTTGTTGTTATTAAAAACCTGGCCTGATTTTTTATACAAGTGAAAATAAGAATGCTTACTGAGACTCTCTGAATTCTGGAGGGATCAGGTAGGGAGAAAAAATTCAGTGTTTCATCTTTGTTCACAAAGGTTTGTCTTACCAAATTGTTGACAGATTAAGAGAAAACGTTTCTTTAAATCTGGAAAAATAAAACATTAGAGCATCTTTCTCAGCTCATGTAGTCCTGTGTAATTTAATATTTCTTTGCTTGAATCCCTTTTTCCATTAGTTTTCTTGATTTGCCTCGTGATTGAGGGTGATAGGGTCAGTGATAATCCCAAGAAGTTTGCAGAATTTTTGTTAAGGTTCCTATGATTGCCCACTGAAGTGGGTGCCTTTGTCACTGGAGGTTGTGGAATGTACATCCCAAGGGGAAAGCACATGTTCTAGCAGTTTCTTTACCATCATGAGGGCATCAGCTTTGTGGCGAAGGAGAGGCTGTAACCCATCCAGAAAACACATACAATAACAAGAACATATTGATGAGTCATAGGAAGTGGCAGTTGAATGAAGTGCAGCTGCAGGTGCTCAAAGGAGCTGGAGGGAGGAGTTGTGAGGCCTCTGGGAGAGAAGTAGTTTTTTCCTATGGGGGGTGAGGCAATGTGAAAACTGAAAAATGGGATTTGCCGGACAGCCGGGAAGAGCCCAGCAGCTGTCTTGGGTTTTCCATAGCCCTGACCGTTGAATTTACAGCCATTGTTTACCCACCTTCATTTCCCTGATTCAGGAGCAGACTGTCCCCATATTGTAAAGATGTCAGGATGGCAAAAGTCTGGCAGTGAGGGACTATTCTTTGCAGAGGCAGAATGGACTTCATCCACATGTGAAAAGCATTTGTAGATTCTTTGTAGATTCTGTGGTTGCTGCCTTTGCATGAAAGTCAGCTAAGGAGCTTTCCTGATGTTTAGTGTGAGCCTCAATTCTGATGACAGACAGCATTTTATCCCAGGACATGTTAGACTCCCAGGAATTTCATGGAATTTCTGGAACTCATAACATATACTTGTAGAGACATAACATAAAGAAGGCTTAATTGTTTGTTTGACAATGTTTCCCATGTAATTTAACATATCGGATAAGCCTAATTAGTTTAATATCTTTCTTTTTAAAAGGAGAGAAAACCAATCTTTTGACATGTTTCAAGGATCCTTTGAAAAATCCCAATGTTAGCTAGAGGTCAAAAAGACTTCATTTAGAATCTGATTTGAGGAAGTTTGTCAAAAATATCAAAGAAGGTCTTAAGATACTTGCCTAAATAGGATCACACATCACTATGAAACTTAATATTTAGTTATCTTATTAACCAAGATGGCAGAAAAGATTTCAAAGACAAATATAGAAGGTTACATAGCTGCAAAAGCTTAGCTCTCTAGAGTAGGAAAGACTCAGCATTTAACATAAAGCACAGGAAATTGTTTTGATAAAACACAAAATCCCTGCCTTTTAGGCAGAGTACTCAAAGGGAAAGAAAAACTTTTCATCATCTCTTAATCAGGAGTAGATTAAAAACCCAAGAAACCTTGTCCTTATAACAAGCACAGAGAGAAAACCAAATTCTAATTTTGCACCAGCTTATTTTTGATATTAAAACTCATTTACTTAATTCAACTCATTCCAATCTTATCCAGCTCGACCTCACACAAGACTCTTTCCTCAGGGTTCCTCTTCCACAAACTTTCTTTTTTACATTCAGAATTTGCCCTTTCTTTCCCATAACAGTGTTAGTTTAGGACAAATTTACTTTCTTAACAAAAATATCTCCATTTCTTATACCTTCTTTTACTGAAAACATACATTTTCTCATAGCATAAGTTTTTTAGACCCAAACATCTTTTAGTTTTTCTGTAAGAAGAAGCCAAAAGTAGATAAACTCCTGTTCAGTAGTTAACATTTTCATGTTTTATCTTTTCTGAAAATCTGTTGTATCTTTTCCAGATATTCAATGAATTTCCCATCATTTACTTTCCTTTAGCAAAACTCTAAGGTTTCAAGTTCAAGATTTGGGGAAGCTATTTTAAAGTACACATACCATAAAACATA